CACTAAAACAATTTAGGGTAATTGTGCTGTCCTGTTTCCCAGGTACAGAAGAATGTGCTTCGATAACCAGTAAGATCACAATCAATGGGATAGTCATTCAATCAATAAGGCATTCAATCGAATGGGATGATCTATACAATTCAGAAAATCAAAATAACCTGTCCATTGTTAAACAAAGCAAATAGGTACCATACTTCACAAGCAAGTAACAGAAATTGAAAGTGAAAACTTTATAATGACATATAAAGCAGAGCATAATTTCTAAAGGTATCATGAGAAAATTGCTTCTGTATATAATTCTGATACTTCCGTCACACACTCAGGATAGAATTTGGTATGTCTTTAATTTTTGATCCAGAATAATTTTTAAAAAAAATATTTTTATTTCTTTCCATGAGGAAGGGAGAGGGAGAGAGAGAGAGAAACATCATGATGAAAGATTCATTGATCAGATGCCTCCTGCAAACCCCTCTCGGGATCGAGCCCACAACCCAGGCATGTGCCCTGACTGGGAATCGAACCGTGATCTCCTGGTTTATAGGTGGACGCTCAACCACTGGGCCAAGCCGGCCAGGCTGATCCAGAATAATTGAGACATTACTTGTCATCTCAATGTCAAAGCATCAAAAGCCACCTCCAACGATGGAGGCTAAAAATCATTTATATTTTCTGATTTATCCTTCATTAGAATTATTCTGCTTATTAGGGAAAGAAGACATGAGCATTCTGCCATCAGCTCCCAGCAAAGCTGGCAAGAAAGACTTTCTTATATATTTCTGAACTAAGAAAATACATAAGTTCTGACAACCCTTTCAATAAAAACAAAAAATTATGTTTAGAATGGTACCTTAGCAATTCGCTCACTGAAAGGGAACAGTATGTGTTATTCAGCTTCTTAGTAAGAAAATGCAACTTAACAATAACCATTGCTATCATAATGGAATATATTTTTCTTCCTATTTATAATTTTAGCTCAGCTACTATATTGATATATCTTGTTTCTTACATGTAAAATAGTTTTAATATTCATGAAGTTCAGAAACTTCTTGGCTTTCAGAGAATGACGGCTTACAGATTAGGGATATACCAAAGTTAGTACTATTCTTTTACACTCAAAAATAGAAACTCAGTTATAGAGAACTTTCATTTCAATACAGTATACTAGGTATACTGGTTAATAATGTGGATTTTTTCCAATAGATGGAGTTACACATATGTTGATATATATGTGATTTGATATGTATGCTATTTTGTTGTATTGACAACAAGCTTCAAAACTTCATATGTCAAATTTGCTGAAGGTGTTAACATCATAGATATTTTTACACTTAAAAGTGTCAAATTTCATGCCCAAAAAAAGAGCATTTGCGGGAAGATATAGTTCATTACTTTATTTTGAAGAAAAGTGCTGCTGAATACTTCGGGAAGCTTATGGTGAACATGCTCCATCTCAAGATACTTGTGAACGCTGGTTTAAATGCTTTAAAAGTGATGATTTCGATGTGAAAGACAAAGAACGTCCAGGTTAACCAAAAAAGTTTGAAGACCAACAATTACAAGCATTATTGGATGAAGATGC